AAAGATATTTTTTCATAAATGAAAAAATTCGAGATAACAACTTAAATGGAAACTCCTAAAATTCAGGGTCGGCCTCCAACAAACGGAATACGATTCCGAATTTTATTGAATGAGATATTGTCAAAATAAAAATTACCATAAACGGCAAAAACGCTTAATCGAGGGCCTAAACGACATAATTTGCCCAAAACTCGACGCACATCAGAGCCAAAGGCGTTGAGTTGTGATCATTGGTTTGTTTCCAATTGAATTAGACTAACAATTCGTCAAAAACGGACAAACTCGAAGTTATCATGAAATCATTATTTTGCCTTGCGATCCCACTTCATCATAAACTCTAACTCCTTATGCATTTCATCACATTTTAACAAAAAATTTAATACTCCATCCGTCCCATTTATATATGCTCACTTTCCTTATTTTCTTGTCTCAATTATATAGTCTTGTTTTTTTATTAAGAATGTTTTGTTTTGTTCGTTTACTAATATACACTTATTTCTTTATTACTTCCAATAATAATTTACTACTAGTCATTGATAATTAAATGAGGGTAAATTAGGAAAGTTTTCGGCAAAAATTGTTTTTCCAATAACATTAAATAAGATTTCTTAATCCGTATGAAAAACAAAACAAGTCTATATAAATGGGACGGGAGAGTAACATTCTATCAATTTCCATGAAAAAATTGTGGCAGGTAGAAAGAAACACAATAGTAAAATTAAGAAGCCCCCATTTATACTGTTCCACTGTACATTACAAGAATTAAATTGACAGAAACACATATCTTTATATATATATATATATATTTTACTCACAACTGGAGAGAGGGAGGGAAGAGGGATAATTAAACTGTGAATTAAGCTGCACAAACATTAAGTGCAGGTGAATCCTTCTGCACTTTCAATGGGCTGCAGGGTTCCATTTCCAAAGGGATTGCACAAATTTCTTCATCCTTTTTGTCCTTTTCATCCTCAAAATTCTCGCAGGTTTTTGAATCAACTGGATGCACTTCGGTGGTTCCTAGAAACAGAATGTTCATCACATGTTCTGGCAACTTTTTCTCTTCGATGATGACCGGCTTCGATTTCCTATAGATCCCATACAGCAACATCTGAACAAGTCCCAACCCAAATCCAAGAACATTCGGGAGCTACATATCGAAAAAGAAAGATCGAATTAAAGTTAATTTTATATAGCCAGGTTTGAATTTTTGATGATAATTAAATTCCAACTTTTTTTTTCCCACTTACTGCAATACACAAATCTTTCTGAAGCACACCATAGGCAAACCACATGACTGCACTTAGTGTCAAGAAAAATGACAAGAAGAATGGCATGAATTCTACACTTCGAGTCCTGACAACTTTAAACTGCTTAGAACAAACGAACAAGATAAAAAATTATTAGAATTAACAAGTGAAAATCAAATTTTATGGACCAAAAAAAGACGCAGCAACATGAATGTTCTTAATAATTACCACGATGCTTAATGGTGCTGCGAACACACACACGGAGACAGCCACGCAAATCCATCCAATCACCAGAATGCGGGTGTTACCGTTGAAGATGAAAAAGGAAACGAGGAAAATTATTGCGAACACAACAACATCAAGAAGGCCTAATAACATGATCGTGTGGTACTGCAAAAAGGAATTTAATTAAAAATGAATACTTTTAATAAATTAAAAATAATTAAGAAGGATATATGTTGTTCACGTACTCTGATATTTTTGGACGCGTACACAAGGTACAGCGCGATGTAGATTGTTTCTATAATGAATCCAAATGAATTGATAGAGATAAGCAAAATGGCATTTCCCTTCAAGAACGCGTAATACATCCAAACAGTTGATGAAAAGAGCGCTACAACGTATGGTAAAGAAGCAAAACCCGTAGTAGATTTTTCTCTACAAATCCTTTTGAATGTAGGCCTGCAAATCAAATATACATACATCATCTTAATACTCCGTATATATATATATACATACACGGAATAGATCTCCTAAGCATCGATGCTTAGCTTATGCTGAACACTAGGTGACGTGGCACGGTGCCACCTATTGCATTGTGACATGTCACTTGAGTATATATATGTATATATATTAATTTTTTTCTTTCTTTCATAGAGATTAAAAAAGGGATGAGATACTTACAAAGGAGCAAGATATACGCATATCGATATGATGTTTCCTAAAAAAAAGAAAAATAAAAAAGAACTTCCAATCAGTATAATATGCATGTAACTGGATATACGTAAAAGAAAATTCATTCATATTTTTCTCTCATTCGTGTTGATTTCCATAATCCAACTGGAATGTTGTGAAATAAAGAAAAACGAACAAGCAAACTGTCGAACCACCTCGTCTTAAGCTTTTAAAAATTAGAAACACTTATTTTCTTAAAAAAAAAAAAAAACTGTGAAGTATTTTTAATAATTACTAGGAATCAAAAAAGAAGAAGAAGAAAACCAGTGTATATTTTTACCTAAGATACCAGAAGCAAACATCAACGGATGGTTGAGATCAAAAAGTGCCATTTCTGATACTCAAGAAATTCTTAACCCTCTCTCTCTCTCTTTATAGCCGACGGGTCTCTGTGAAACCCTTTCTTTCTCCTTCTCTCTATACTCAGTAGCCACTCACAAATTTCATGTAGAATGAGATTAATAGAGTATGGAGGGAAGGGTATTTATACAGGTGAAAGTGAGAGTGGGTGCGGATTAAGCTCATCTGTGTTGCATGATAAGTGGATTCATAGAAGGTGGCGTACGATAAAATCATTCACCGAACTATGTATGAATTTCTATCCCTTCACGTGTCCCTTGCACTCAAGTGCGTGAAATGAGCTTCTAAGAACATTACTTGCAGTGAATTTGTTGGTTCAATTACCTTCGGTTTCTATCTAACGCACGGTCGGTGTAATATTCACTTTGAATTTTAACGGCTACTATTCAATTAATACTAATGTAATCAAATATAAAAATTAAGTGTCAGTTGGGGAGAATTTATAAATGATTTAATTTATAAGTAGATAGAAATGAATAGTAAATAATTGGATATAACTTGTGTGTTTAATCTGAAAATGAAGTTTTAAATATTTATAATTGATTTATGAATCTTGTTGAACGGAGGCTAAATAAAATGATGTGATTGAGTATCTCCACGCAATTTTTTGAGATGAATGATTGATATACACGATCCATTTTTTGAATCAAGTGTAAAATTAAATAAAACGATTTGACAATATCCAATTTGTTGAGAAGATCAAAAGACATATATTCATTTTGGATTTTGACTGCTATAGTTCAATTATGATAGTATTGTATCTTTAAATAGTACTAGACGTCATCGTGATACAGCAATACGATCAAATATAAAACAAAACAAAATGATTGTGTTTCATCGAGAGCACCCAATTTCTCGAGATGAATGATCATTATACATGATTAATTTTGGATTTGACGTCTATGGTTCAATTATAATATTAACGTTTCTTTAGATAGTATTAGACGAGATCGTCTCTGGAAAATTGGATTAAATATAAAATTAAAAAAAAATTGATTATGTATTGTTGAGAGTGCCCAATATCTTGTAACGTATGACAGATATAGTGACTGTGACAAGACAACTAACATAAATATAAAATTAAACAAAATGACACGATTGCATATCGTTGAGTGTCCAATAGATCAATACGTATGGATGACTGATATACACGACCCATTTTTTTATTTTACCGATTACGGTTCAATTATAGAGGGTGTTTGGTTGGGATTTAAATTAGATTTTAAGTAGATTGTGATAGAAATTTTTGAAATGTGTAGTTAAAAAGTTATGGGACCCATGAAAGATGTGGTTAATATTGATTGTTTGATTTTTACTTAGATTAAAATCAGATTTTAATACAAAACAAACAGATTCTAATGTTATCATATTTTTAAATAGTAATAGAAGTGACTTGATCGTGACACGACTACTAGATGAAATATAAAATGACACAATCGAGTCACGCGCTCAGAGCAAGGGTGGGATAGAGCAGGTGAATTTTACGTTACACTCCCATAAAGCATAGAACCTCGTTATATACGTGAAGTTGTCTTCCACATTAATATAGCAGAAAACATGCACCCTGGAATTGTTGCCTTATTAATATTGTCTTTTTCTTAATTCTATCAGTACTATGCGTGTATACTTCTGTTTTCTTGAATTGTTTGCTAGTGATTATTGCACGATTTCGTGTGTATGTTGCAAAAAACGTTAGAAGTTTTAAGGATTCTCGCGTTTTCTTTACTATGAATTAAATTTCGACGGTGTAGAGCACGTTCGCAAATATGTCTATGTTTTATAAGTTATAAGAACCACATAAATATGTGGTTAAAACATTTCGTATTTAACTTATTTGTCAAACATTATGTGGGTATTTAACTTATTTGTCAAACATTTCGTATGATAAACAACTATATCATATTCTCCAGAAGTAACATAGTAATTTTTTTTAAAACTTTGGTTCGTTGCGTGAACGTTATGTGGGAATCATTAAAGATTGTGACGCCAGTAATACGTCGTTTTTGAATATAATCACGGAATTAATAATCTAAAAGTTAGCTTATCGTATGAAATTCTACTTGAGAGAAATCTAAAAATGTCTTTCGTTCGATAAAATCAAAGCCGAAAGTTGGAATTGTTTTATGTCAAAGACGATTTTGCTTTAAAGTATAAAGTCTAAAAAATTAATCTTTTGGAGATTTGTCTAGTATTGATTATATCACACATAAGTGTTTTGCAGTAGGACAAGAGAATTGAATTGCAGAATTGTCACTTTCAAGCAAATAAATTGAGCAAATGATAAGTTTGCATGATTGATATGAATAGATCGAAATCTATGCTGATCACTTTGTTATATGATTAAATCAAGAATTGAGTGATCGATCAGACTATTTGGTGGAGCCTAAATTTTTGTAACATTGAACATGTGGCTACGCTAATTGCTGATCTGGTTCAAATTTTCTCCTCAAAACTTGGTACTTTTTACACGGAATCCAAATAAATGAATGATTAGTAATGTAGGATCAAATGACACTTGAACGTGTGTGTTCGATGTACAATTTATTCAAACCAAATCAACATTAAATGGGGAACAATAAAGACAATTTATATCAGTATCTGTGCACAAGTTAGTAACTTACGTATTGTTCGCTATGGAAGAGCCTAACCCATCTTATCCTCCTGACTTCCTGTCACGTCCTCAGAATTCGAACACACGATCTTTCCCTAAAAGAGACTTGTGTACTGTGCAAAAGTGCAGCATTTAAACCAGAAAAGAAATGAATACTTGGACAGGAATACCTTAACTAAGTTGCTAATAAAATTTTACGTAAATGAACTTGTTTTGAGTTACGTCCTTTAATTGGCCACTATCTAAGCCAGTATTTAAAAAAAAATCACAAAAGTCCTTTCGTGCATGGCACTCCACGTATGTGTTTATGCACTTTCTTTGAATGGAAGGCAATAATTCAATACAAAGTGAAATATCGGGATTGAAATTATAATTTATTTTAAGGGGAATGAACCCACTAAGTAATTAATTAGATTAAAGCTATTTTTTTGTTGACGTAGGAATTCGCAGTCGCTACCCGCCAGCGAAGTCTCGACCACCCGGAAGGGACGGAGACCCTACCACTGTGAGTACGCACTAGGTAAATCCCGCTCCATGTGCAGTAGCCCGCAAACCAAGAGATAAATCGCATTAGGCAAGAGCGGTGCGACGGGCTCGACTGATGAATACATTAAAGCTATTTTAATCATGAGAAAACTTGGAATTGCCCATATGAGTGATTATGGGGGAGTTTGAATTTTCAACAATTTTGACCATTAATGGCACCGATATAATTTGGAAATAGAGTTTCTAGATTATATAAATTAATAAAAATAAGTCATGCGCAAATTTTGAAAAAAAAAAAAAACAAACAAAAACTTAGGATTCCTTTTTAGTGTATTTTCTCTAGACGCGTAAGTTAATCATGTATTGACACGTCGCACACGTTACAACAATTTCAGTACGAAAAGGACACGTGGAAGTCCATTAAAGAAAATCCATGAACCAAGAAAGAGAAGTCGAGAATGAATTACATCGTTTGGGATCATAGAAAAAGACACGTTAAAGATTGTTAAAGAAGATTAAAAATATCAAATCCACGGTAGGGAAACGAGGACCAATGGCATGATTTTAGAGTGGGGCATTGAAGATTGACGAATCATTGAAAAAATACATTCTATTTGCAAAGACAAGTCTTTTTTCTCAATATCTGCCGATGATGACTTTGCATTTTTAATGTAATGTATAAGACATCTCTATTTATGTCAATAAACATAAATTATACTGAAATTATATTTTAATAGATTAGAGTCGATTAATAATTAATACTTTAATTTAATTCTTTACAGCTACGTATTTCCTCATAATAGAATTTAAATCATTAAAACGGCTCTAATAGGAAGGGGGAAAAAAAAAAGAAAAATCACGTCATTAATAATGAAAAAAAAATACATTAAAATTGTTTATTGAATAAGTATACTTTATTCATTTCAGATCAAATTATAAAATAAAGCATACTTATATTGATATTGAAATTGATAAAGACTTCAAAATTGTCTCGTTATAATTTTTATCGTTTTTCATTCCATCTATCGGTTCAATTAGATATTAACATTTATTCCCTACTTGGTTTGGATTAAAATCCAATTAAAATTTTAAGCAAGAGTTAACAACTAATTTTAATCACACATTTTTTGGGACCTACAATTTTTCAACAGTATATTTCATCAATTTTTATCAAAAATTACAAAAAAAAAAAAAAAAATCTAATTTTAATCTTTACCAGGAGCTTAAACATATGTGAACCACGTGTTTGGAGTACTAGACATGACAATGAACACATTTCACATTTCTCTTTTTTTAGTCTTTTTCGTCTTTTGTATGTAGAGAACAAAAACCGCGAGTTTTTTTCATTTAATTAACATTTTGATTCCTAAATGGCCTATATGAAACAAAAAAATGATTATAAATAGTTTTTTTATTGATTGAGAATGGGCTATTTTAATTTCTCGCACGAGGAAATTAAACCACGTACTCTTTGAAATAAATAAATTACCAAATAACTAATTCGGTTGGATCAACTCCAAATTCGATTAATTTGGACAGTTTAAGTCTAATTTAGTAATGACTACACTTCTATTATGAACAAAGTTATTTAGGACTTGTCTGGTGTCAATTTTAATCAAGAATTCAACCGTTGGTGAGCCACATTGGTTGACTTTTTTCACACAGGAGTGGCAGCTGTGGGACCCACTAAAGGTCAAAATTTTGCTTTGTAGTGGAACCAGACATGCTCTTAAATTCATGGAATCCACATAGAACTCATCTACGAGTCTACAAACTCATCATTGTACAAAAATGAAACTTTGAACGTGCCTAATGTTTTGAAACGCGTCTATCCCAATACCTTATTCTTCCAACCCTATCATTTTTTATTTGCGA